TCGCGAGTGAAACGAGGCTAATAACCAAGTGAACTCAAGTATCGTGAGAGAGTTAGGCTAATAACCGAGTCGATCACACCTATCGTTGAGAGCAAGGCCGTGGCGAAGCCATGATCGAGACAAGTCGAGGACACGAACATCTGATCATTCATCATTGGTTCTTTCATTGAGAGTTATTGATTGGTTGTTCGTGAACTTTTCCTATCCCATTCTTTTCATTTTTTGGTTCGATTTTTTGAGTCTTTTGGTTCGAAATTTTTCAAAAAATTTCGATAGTATCAAAAAAAAAAAAAAAAAAAGTGTCATCTAGTCCTTTTGTTTGATTTTTTTTTGGTTATTACCTTTCTTGAAGGGGCCGAATTTTTTTTTTATTTTGGGTCGAAATTTTCGAACTTTGTTCGAATTTTTCATTTATTTTTTCGATTTTTTTTATAGAGTCAAAAAAAAAAAAAAAAATCATCATGTCTTATGTGCCAATGGACGAGATGGACTGGGAAGATCTCGAATTGTTGGAGAGTTTGGAGAGGGAACTTACCCCATGGGAGAGCACATATCTAGACGAGCTCCATGAATGAAGAAATCGCGAAGAATACGAGCGACAACTCGTAGAAGGCCGAGGAGCAATGTTGGGTGAAGTTCTAAACCGTGAAGATGATGGTGCGCTTAACTTTCTAATCCTTGAGGACAAGGAAATTCTTGAAGAGGAGGGGAATGATACGGAAGTGGTCATCAACCCCGGCGAGTCCGACAAGGAGGGGGACGATGGTCTTGTTTTATGGCTAGAGAACATGTTGGAGGAGCCATCAAGTCCAATATCTCGGCCATCATGCGTACGAGATTGGCCAAAGGGATGTGGTCCACAGGCCGAGTTGAAGGTTAAGAAGTGACGGGCCAAAAGACGACGCAAAACAAGGGCGCAAAAGGCAAGCCGGTGTTGTGGGCCGTGCACGAGGAAGAAACGGGCGTGGCACACAGAGTTCGAACGACGGGGAAGGCTGGGTATGGAGGACGGTTGGATATGGCGTGCCGGTGACTGTATTGGGTTGGATGGCTGGGACCCATGGTCGTCAGGGGACAAAGGGATCGATGAGGACCGGCTATCGGGCGTATGGCGCGCATCGTGCGGTGATGCACGCAAGAGGTCGAAGGGCCGGGGCGCTGAGCGGAGGGGCAGCGATGAGATGTTGGACACAAGTAACGCGCGACCATGCGCAAGAAGAAGGCAGGCTGCGGGGGTCGGCGAGACGCGAGGAACCGCGGGTGTACGCGGGTGCGCGATAGGCGATCGGGGCACGGGCGTCGATGGTACGCGCGAGCGCGCAGGCCTATGCGCGGAAGGAATAGGAGGGGCTGGGCGCATGCACGCGCAAGGGCGGTCGCGAAAGAGTAGCGTGCAAGGAAACGCGCGCGTAACGGGCGGGCGCGAGAAGCCTAGTCCACGCGGGACTAGGCAAGGCAATGGCGGCGCGAGGGATGACGCGTGCGAGGCGCGCGCGCGCGAAGCCGCGCGCGACGAGGAATAGGCAACGCGAGAGGCGGTCGTGCGTGTGAGGCGGCCGAGTACTTGGGGCGCATGAGTTGGATTTGTTTGGAGTGCAAGCCAAGCAAAATCAAGATCTAGTCAATTTAGGACTTTAGATATTTAGTTTCCTTCTTGCACAATAATATCTAGATTGTATAGGATATCTAATATTTTATTTCTTTAATATGTTTCCTAGGTAGATTAGAATTAGTCATAGTTAGGATCTATAAATAGGGATCATCCCCCATTGTTTTTAGGGAGTCTTGGAATGGAATAGAAAAGAACGTTAGTTCAAACC